TGTTTACCTGTAATTCCTAGTAGTTTGGTGAAGAGAGTTTCATTCTGTGGTTCTCTAATGTTTCCATTTCTAAATTCAGGGATATCTTTTTCCTCATTGTGTGCTATTATTCCCTGGAGGTTTACATCACCTGCTTAGCAGTAATAATGTTCTCCTCTTAAATGTTTTATTAGATAGCTTTCTCTCAGCCTCATCACAGTGTGAATTCTTCCCTTCCCTTTACTCATTTATTATTACGCTGTTGTCATGCTCTTGGGAGGAAAAATAAAAGCTAATCAAATATTAGCGGATATGGATTAATGAAGGATGAAATAAGCCTAAGTTGAATCTCTCAGAATACAGGTAGTCCTTCTCTTATGACAATCAGGACCATAATTAACGTTGCTAAGCAGAGGATGTTAAGTGAGTGGCACCCAATTTTACGAAGTTTTTTTGCCAGTTAAGTAAATCATTGCAGTCGTTAAGTGAATCACGTGGTCGTTAAGCAAATCCGGCTTCTCCCGTTGAATTTGCTTGTTGGAAGCCCGCTGGGAAGGTTGGAAATGGTGATCACGTGACCCCTGGGATGCTGCAACTGTTGTAAATACACCCGGATTTTTAAATGTCTACGGAGATTCTCCAACATCCAGGTCATGGTTGTCCCAAAGGTGCTTTTTCAAGAGGTAACTGGACTTTCTTTGGTTCTTCCTTGAAGGCGTTTTGCTTCTCATCCAAGAAGCTTCTTCAGCTCTTACTGGATGGTAGGAAATGGAAGGACTTACACTCCTTGCAGACTTCCAACCCCCCCTCCGCCCCACACACATTCCAGTCAGAGCTGAAGAAGCTTCTCGGATGAGAAGCAAAATGTCTTCAAAGAAAAACCAGAAAGTCCAGTTGCCTCTTGAAAAAGCACCTTTCGGACTCAAATTATTTATCACCTTACTGTGAAGATGCCGTGGCAGTCTAAAGTCCCTGTGCCATTTATTGGCCTCCAACTTTTGAGTCTGGAACTAAGCAGGAAGAATATAATAGATTAGAATAACAAAGTTGGAAGGGACCTTGGAGGTCTTCTAGTCCACCCCCCCCCCTGCTCAAGCAGGAGATCCTATACCATTCCAGACAAATGGTTATTCAATCTCTTCTTAAAAACTCCCAGTGTTGGAGCGTTTACAACTTCTGGAGGCAAGTTGTTCCACTGATTAATTGGTCTAACTGTCAGGAAATTTCTCCTTAGTTCTAGGTTGCTTCTCTCCCTGATTAGTTTCCATCTATTGCTTCTTGTCCTGCTTTCAGGGGCTTTGGAGAATAGATTGAGTCTCTCTTCTTTGGGGCAGCCCCTGAGATATTGGAAGACTGCTATCATGTCTCCCCTAGTCCTTCTTCTAAAGAGAAGGACCAGGGGAGACAGGATAGCGGTCTTCCAATATTTGAGGGGCTGCCACAGAGAGGAGAAGGGGGGTCAAGCTAATTTCTAAAGCGCCTGTAGGCCAGACAAGGAATAATGGATGGAAACTGAACAAGCAGAGATTTAACCTGGAAATAAGGAGAAACTTTCTGACAGGGAGAACAGTCAACCCATGGAACAGAAGTTGCCCTCGGAAGTTGTGGGAGTTTCATCACTTGAGACTTTCAAGAGATTGGACTGCCATTTGTCAGAAATGGTGTAGGGTCTCCCGCTTGGGCGGGGGGTTGGACTAGATGACCTACAAGGTCCCTTCCAACTCTGATTATCTGCTATCTATTATTTTTCACCAAACTAGACATAACCAGTTCCTGCAACCGTTTTTGTATGTTTCAGCCTCCGTTTTTGTATGTTTCAGCCTCCCTAATCATCTTTTTTGCTCTTCTCCACACTCTTTTTAGAGTCTCAACATCTTTTTTACACTGTGGCGACAAAAACTGGATGCAGGATTCCAAGGGTGGCCTTACCAAGGCATTATAAAGTGGTATTAACACTTCACAGCAGGCCCTTTCTCCTCCTCCTCCTCGGATTGCTCTCTAACTGCCAGCTGGAATGCTCCATTCTCCTGCCATTCTCCCCCGTAAAAATTCTGCGATTACATATTGCAAAAAAAAAAAAAGGGATTGAAGTAAAAGCTCTTATGCGTTATGCCTGGAAGCTCACAAAAACAGCTCGGAAATGTCTTCTGCAAAGTTGGGAAACGCGGCTGGTTAGATGCCGTTTAATGGTGCACACTGGGGAATGTCGAAATACGCTGCGGTCCCTTTTAAATTTGCTGCTGTAACCGGACCTGTGATCCCACATTCCAATTATTTATTTCGCCAGGCTGATGATGGGTCTCAATGGACTCCTAAGAGCAAGTTGGAAATTTAGGCATCTGCTGAGAAGGATACTTTGCTTCTTGGCATACCAGCTTCTTCTTAAAAATTGAGAGGAAAAAAAGGAGGCAGGGGCAAATGCTGGATCAAAATAGAGCCTTCAGAGCTCAGTGGTACCATGGCAGGAGATCCCTCGGGCAAAATTGAGCTAACTGGACCATTCATGTGTTTCAAACAGCTTTCTGTGCTGCCAAATGGAGGCGAGTAAGTGTAGTCTGGAAAGAACGGTGCTAAATTCCCCTTTAATAGTCTCCTGAGGACTATATTCCAAGACTTTCAGCAAAATATTGCTGGAAAGAAAAACCAGTTGTGTTACAGAGCAATACACCCAAAATCTTGAGCGTTGGCAGTTTGTTGTAGAAAGAAGTGCGGGGTTGGGAGAGAGGGATCTTTGCTTTCCTTCTTTTAATTAACATTAGTCTATGTAGGCCAGCTACAAAGGCCCATTAAACCAGGCTGTTCTGTTTTGCTTTGGTTTATTGAATGGATCCTGCATTATCAAAAACTTAGGCATGTTAAAATATTATCACTGTAGTAACTAAAATAGCATCCCTTTGGAGTAGATGTGGGGCATATGCAGGGGTGGGATTCAAATTTTTAACAACTGGTTCTGTGGGCGTGGCTTAGGTGGTGGGCGTGGCTTGATGGTCATGTGACTGGGTGGACATGGCTTGGTGGTCATGTGACTGGGTGGGCGTGGCCAACTCAATATCACTCACATCGAGGCACGCATCTCCTCGCTTGGCCTCTCATGACTGTGGGGATGCTGCAACAGTCGTAAGTGTGAAAAACGGTCATAAGTCACTTTTTTTCAGTGCCATTGTAGCTTTGAATGGTCACTCCACACAAGCAAAGTACCAGCAAAGGAGGGGAAAAAAACTCCAGAGAAGTTCCTGAGACAGGAAGTTTAGTCCTGCCAAGAATGTAATAAGGGTTAACGGAGAGGCAGTTTCTGTAAGCAACACCAGAATGTTTCCTTCCTGCCTTCCTTACAGGATTAGTCCAGTAATTTCTTCTAACAACTAGTTCTCCGAACTGCTTAGAACGTTAACAACCGGTTCTAGCGAATAGGTGCAAACTGGTAGAATCCCACCCCTGGGCATATGGGTTACTCCTGGATTATTCTGGAAGGGATTCTATAGGGTAAGTCTGGTGTTACGTGTGCACGCAAACACACATACATGCACAGAGTGTCCCGAAGGTGCTTTTTCAAAAGGCAACCGAACTTTGTTTCTTCCTTGAAGATATTTTGCTTCTCATCCAAGAAGCTTCTTCAGTTCTGACTGAATGGCGGAGGATGGAAGGATTTATATTCCTTGCAGACATCTGGTCGTTTGCACTGTCTCAGAGAATCATTGAGGCCACTTGGAGGTTTATTTGTGCCCTCAGGACCACCTGAACAGTGTAAATGAGTGTGGAGCCTTCTTGGAACTGCTGAAAGGACCGTGTTGTAAACAGGAGTGAGGTGGTGTCACAGGTAAACTCCAAGTGGCCTCAACAGCTCTAAAAAAGAATGTAAATGACCAGATGATTGCCAGGAATATAAATCCTTCCATCCTCCGCTATTCGAAGAAGCTTCTTGGATGAGAAGTGAAACGTCTTCAAGGAAAAAAAAAAAGACGAATTACATTTTGAAAAAGCACCTTTGGGACAACCACGATCTGATGACTGAGAATCTCCACAGGCAAAGTGTTTCAATTCAAGACTCTTTGGTGGAATTTGTAAATGTTCCTTTTGGACATTTCATTTCAGGGCTGATTTTCTTATGTGGAATCAAGTGAATCTAGATCTTGCAACCTTGGTCATTCCAAATTAGACATGAAAACAGGGCCGGCACGATTTGATTTTGAGACAGATCCTTTCAATGTTTCTAATGTGTCAGCGGTTCAACGGTAGAACAGATTGTCTTAGGATGTTGTACTCTTCTTCCCTTGGAGTCTTTAAACAGAGGCTGGACAGAATTTGGCATGGATACTTCAGTTGGAAGTTTGCTCTGCAGTTTTATAATGACCAAATTAACCTTTTAAAAAATCCTGTGCTTCTCTGTGATGCTTAAGACATTTAATAAATTAAATTAAAGACCACATTACAGTCCAAAGCTTTCAAGAACAAAATAATGTACAGTAAAATCCATGGTTTAAACCAGCATGGATAAATATTGTAATTAGACACAACTTAAAAACCTTCCCAGATTATTTTGTCATATTCTTATTCCCACCAATGGTTTCTGCTGGGCAAGTTATTTTATTTTATCATTCCATCCTTCTTAGACAAGAAAAAAAAGAGCCAGCCAGGAGATTCAGATAAGGTCCAAGATGAAGGGAAGGGAAGAGCTGGCGCCCCACCTCTATTATTTTTGGTTTGAAAAAGTGGAACTTTGGAGACAGCATCCATGCTCCATATCTACCCCTTCCAGGGAATGCCTGAAAGCAGGCAGCTCAGGAAATAAGCACGAAGAACCAAAAATAAGCAAACTTAACATAAAGAAACCAGTAATACTGGTTGGAAACCATCCTTTTCTTAACTTTCAGTATGCAGCTTGACAGCTAGGCAGGCTACTTACATTACAGTTTAGTCACTAGTAGTTGTCTCTACTTGACTCAGAAAAGGGATGTTGAATTTTGCTTAAAGGGAGCATTCAGTTTCTAATCTGTGTTGTTTTGAGGGGCCTTCTCTGGCCTTCAGAAAGTATGAAACTTGGGCCCCGCGGTCACTATAATGTCAGCATAAGGAGCTGACTGGGCCACCTCAATCGCTCTTTGTTTCTGTAGAACCAGCAAGCTGTAGAAGTTCTCTGCTGCTTCTTTCTTGTTCTGGTTCTTGCAGAGGGACAGAAAGCTGAAAGACTTTGCCCCTTGCTGTTCCGAGTGCTGCGGGAGAGAACAAAATAAATAAATAAACAAACAAACAAACAAATAAATAAATAACTGAGGCGGATGTATTATGAGAGGAGGCTAATTCTGTATTTGGAGTGGACAATAAGCAGTTTTATGGGAGAGGCTGTGTGCCTTTGCCGGTTCATACAGACCAAGAACTGTCGATAGGAAAATGGGATAGAGAGTCTAAGATGGAAGAACAACTGTGCATAATTGGAAATAATGTCCTATGTTGTCAAGCATGTAGCTACAAGGGGCAATCTACTGGCTAAATCCGCTACCACCCTCTTATCCTTCCGGAATGGCCTGAAGACCTGGCTCTGCCAATGGATTTAGGCAAAAATGGCTAATAGATTAGATCAACAGATTAACAGAGTTGGAAAGGGATCTTGTAGGTCATCTAGTCCAACCCTCCACCCAAACAGGAGACCCTACAGCATTTCTGACAAATGGTAGTCCAGTCTCTTCTTGAAAGCCTCCAGGGATGAAGCTCCCACAACATCCGAAGGCAAGCTATTCCATTGGTTGATTGTACTCTGTCAGAAAATTCCTCCTTATTTCTAGGACTTCAATCTCTCCTTGATCGGTTTCCATCCATCATTCCTTATCTGACCTTCAGGTGCTTTGGAAAATAGCTTGATCCCCTTTCTCCTCTCTGGGGCAGCCCCTCAAATATTGGAAGACTGCTATCATGTCTGCCCTGGTCCTTCTCTTTACTAGACTACCCAGGCCCAGTTCCTGAAACTGTTCATCATATGTTTTAGTCTTCAATCCCCTCATCATCCTGGTTGCTCTTCTCTGCACTTTTTCAAGAGTCTCAACATCTTTTTTATAGTGTGGTGACCAAAACTGAATGCAGTACTCTCGGTGTGGTCTTACTAAGGCTTTAGAGTGGAATTAACACCTCCCTTGATATTGATTGTATCCCTTTTGTTAATGCAATTTATGATTACACGGGCCTTCCTGGCTGCCACCGCATACTGCTGGCTTGTATTCAACTGGCCATCGACTAAGACTCCAAGATCCCTCTCACAGTTACAGTTGATCCATCCCCATCCTGTTTATGTTTTTGGTCCAGTATGCTATCCATTGGAATGTTTTAGTTTGTAATGCATAACATTTTAATATTTTTGTCCTAATTGTATTAAGTAGCTTATGGGGCTTCTTGTAGATAGTGCTAGACTTACGACCACAGTAGGGCCCAAGATTTCTGTTGCTAAGCAAGACAGTTGTTAAGTGACTTTTGCTCCATTCTATGATGTTAAGTAAATCAGTGCAATTGTTAAATTAGTACAGTTGTTACATGAATCACTGCAGTTGTTAAGTTAGCAACATGGTTGTGAAGTGAATCTGGTTTCCACGTTGACTTTGCTTGTCAAAAGGACACAAAAGGTGATCAATGATCCTGGGACACTGGCATCGTCATAAATATGAGTCAATTGCCAAGCCTCTGAATTTCGATCAAATGACCATGGGGATGCTGCAACAATCATTAACCACAGTTAAACAATAATAAGCCACCTTTTTCGGTGCTTTCGTAATTTTGAACCGTCACGTTCAAAGTTATGACAGCACCGAAAAAGTGACATGACCATTTTTTACGACTGTTGCAGCATCCCCATAGTCACATGATCAAAATTCAGACACTTGGCAATGGAATGTATTTATGGTATTTGCAGAGTCAGGTGATCAGTTTTTGGGACTTTTGGGCAAAAAAAAAGAAAGAAAAGAAAATGGGGAAGCCAGATTCACTTAACAACCCTGTTTCTAACTGTAGTGATTCTCTTAACAACTGTGGCAAGAAAAGTCCAAAAATTGAGCAAAACTCACTTAACAACCGTCTGGCTTAGCAGTGGAAATTCTGGGCTCAATTGTGGTTGTAAGTGGAGGACTACTTGTATGAATATCTGAAGAGATCCGCAAATTCATTTCAACTGAATATTGGGGAAAGGGAATTGCAAGTCCTGGCATAAGGATTCTTTTTGCCCTCTTGATTTTCAGCTCAAGAGAAAGCAGGATAAGGATGAGTCACTGGCAGTTTAGGAAGAAGAGCTGGCTAGAATTATGGCCTGGTAAAAATGATAAGGTTGGATTATATTTCTAAAACACGCTATCTGCCATTTCATGAAGAGATTTGGCTTGAGCCTGGGGCACAGCAGAGGATTTTACAGAAATAGAATGGCAGATATGACAAATATCCTCTTGATTTCAAGGAACAGATTCAGGATATGCATCTGTTTGTTTGGTTTTTTTGAAAACTTCTTTGTGGCCTAAAATGAGAAGATGAAGCGATGTGTTTTTAGATAGTTTTAGATTTAATCATATGCTTAGATATTGAATGTATTTATATTAATATGTCCATGGATGTTATATAGGTCTTTTCTGTCATTATTTCTATCTTTTCCCAACTCACATTTTATTTGCTTCAATCACCATAGTATATTTAGACATTTTCCTTCATTCTTAATCAACATATTTGTTTTTTTTCTGTTTGTTTTTTTATATATTACTATTATCCTTTTTAAAAAAATGTTTCACACCCTTTTAAACTGGAGTTATCAGGCCATTTCAGTGATTAAATAACATATGAAGAAAGGTTTATTATGTTTGATAATATCTTACCTGGAAAGTATTTAATAGCTTTAATGTTCTCTTACTTCTTCTTTGTTCTTCATTGTCCAAATTACTTGTCTGGGGTCCCTATATCACAGATCAAAATAATGTCTTATTGATAAAATTCACCTGAATGAAGATAAAAGGCAGCATAAAAAATAAAGACTAGACATAGCTCGTATATAACTTCCCAAGCCTTGTCTTCCTAGTTATCATCCTCTCTAGGAAATTTGTTTGTTCTACATAACTAATTATGTAGAAACATTTGTTCTACATAACATGATTTGGCAAACCAGACCAGACAACTAAATTTGCCATGCTTTAATAAAGTTGATTAAATGTATCAGTAAAACTGTCCATACAACTATCAGAGGCGTTATTTAATTTTTTTGAAACTTTATCTGATTATTTAAAGGACTTTTTAAAAAACGAAATACCTTGCAACACACAATGAACAAAGAATAATGCAAACCAAATTCAAATCAAAAGTACAAATTGAAGTTTATTATTCTACTGATATTACCAGCTGAGCAAAAAAAACAACTCATAAAAGAAAGCATCAGAAACATGAAACTCTCTTAAGAAAACATACCCCCAAAAGACACTTTTCCTAATGGATGAAAACTGAGTTTCCTCATGGTGTCTCTTGGCCACACTCCCTATGGTGCACTTTTCATTCCCTCTCCCTGACCCACATGGTGTCCCATATGCACCCCTGTGCTCCCTCCCCAACCTGAACCCTTCACCTTACCCTGACCTATGCAGCACCTCTCATGCATACCCTTGCACCTTTGCGCACACAGCCTGCACCTCTCTTGCACACTCTCATACATCTTCCCCATTCTCCATTCCACTCCTCACTTCTTCCCACATCTAGCAGTAGTCACCTACTTGTGGACCTGGGTCATACAACTTCCTATTAGCTTCCCCACTGACTTTGGTTATGGGAAATGATCAGGAAGTTGCATTGCCTAATAGTGGGATTGACGATAGCAAGTGGGACTGCATGGAGTGCTAAGCTTAGTGACGGACAGAAAGAAGGGCTAGGGAGAGGTATGTGGGTGGGGGAGACTTACCCCAGAGATTTGTGATCTTCCTTGCTGGCATCCCCTTTCTGGGGAAACCAGCATGGAAAATTGCAAATTGTGATCTTGCGATCACGAGGGCGCTTGGCAACCCGTTGCTGGAACGGGTTGCCAAATATCCAGATCACAATCATGTGACTGCGGAAGGATGCTGGGATGGCTAGAACTCCAAGGACCAATCTTAACCACCATTCATCTAGTGCCGTCTTTACTTCCAACGGCCACTGAATGAACGGCTGTCAATCAAGGACTAGCTGGAAGGGAAAGTTCTTTGAAATATTTTTTCCCCATTCAGAAAGGGGTCCATTGTCCAGATTCAGATTGTCTCACAGGTGCTACATGGTCATTATTCGCTATTGAAGTTTAGAAGATTGTAAACATCACATTTTGCAAGGCTGCTTGCTCATTTTCGGATTCTTGTTGTCCTGAAGATGATGGTAAAACGTCACTGGACAAAGCAGACACTTCGTTAACGGATTCCTGGTGTTAAAAAAAAGAGGGGGGAAATGGATCTGCGTCAGCTCTTTTGTTCTGCAGAAAATAAAGGGTTAACATGGAATTTATATTTCTCTGCTGAATTTTATACTCCACAAAAAAAGAATAAGAGAATAATGGAAGGTGCAAGTGGAAAACATGACATCCTACCTTTTTGCAAACAATTCTGTGTTTCAGACAATTCCTAATTAGAAACACAGAATATTATGACTTTTTTTTCTGAGATCCTTCACCCCACTAAAAATTCTTTGGTATATTGAGAGTATTGAACTGAAGCTACAAAGTCCCCATTCAACTGGATAGCTTATCACCTCACTGGATAATTTGAGATCAAACTTTATCTTTTAATCCAACCAAAGCATTAACATCATGATAAAACGTGGCTGGAAGAGCCATGTAATCATTTCTGGAGGCAAATTGGGATATAAATCCCATTTATTTGGGCATTTGTGAGTGAAATTATATAGCCCATACTATTTATGAACTGTCTCTTTATCAAGTTTACATTTTAACTGTGGCTTATCCTTGTTATGAATTTTAACGCTGTTAAGTCATAATGAATTATACTTTGATATAGGAAAAGCTAGAAATAGATACTTTAATAAGTAAATATAAATAACTGCTCAATTAAGTAAGAGTACCCAGATGAGCTTGTCATCTCTAAAAGTTAAGTAGAGAAGGATTTGGCTAATATTTGTAAAAATACTAACCAAAAAGGAGTATCAGGATTTGGAAAGTTTGAAAGTCAAAAATATATCCATCTCAACTCCTGTTCAAGAGTGTGATGGAATTTTAGACTTCTGTGATGTTAAATATTAATGTTTTAGAAAGTTTAGGAGGATTAAACTGTAATTTGTCAACTTTGTAAGTTGAAATCCAGTTTACCCATTTTGATGGAAGTACATAATGCTTAAACATATTAAAGCCTAATTTGTTCTGAAAGTACTTACCATAGTTTTTACAAATGTATTATCATCCCTTTCGTTTCTGCTACTTTGTAACACAGATTCTTTTTGGGGATAATTTGTGTCCTGCGGTATATTTAAATTTTCTGCTATTGATAGTTCTATATTGATAATAAGAGAAATAAGTTAAATTCTTGTCCAATGTTACTTACCATTTAATTGCCATTACCAATAAATAATTATTTGCATATAATCTCATCTTATACTATTTAAGTTTTGAAATTTCCAATGTGTCCAAATTGCAGTTCACCGTATTCTACTCAAAGGTTTAAGAATGATCACTTATGAAGTCTTTATTCCTATCATCTTTACTAGATAGAAAATGATGAAAAACAAATGCAGGAAAAAACGTAATAAAAATGTGAATGCTTTACATTTAACAACTAACACAGTGTTACCCATAAGCTTCCCACCATTCTCCTGGTACCACTTCAAGATACTTTTTGTAAAAAAAAAAGTTCTTTAATTTTTCATTCTGAAATTATCCTCAGTTGTAGTTTTTTTTTTTTTTTTAGGTAAACACAATCCCTCTAGCCACTTTGGGATATTTTATGCATATTGGCTCTGCAGATTTTGATTATATTCCTGTATTGCCTTAGATGCTCTTCAAACTGATCTAAACTGAAGAAAAGGTTGATGGATCCTATTTTTCTAAATATAAGCTTTATTTTGTCTTACAAATGGATGTAATTTTTTGTAGTCCTGAACTCACTTAGCAACTGTTTGAAGTTACGATCTATCTGAAAAAGGGAATTTATGACCTGAATCCGAAATTCTGATGGTTGCCCTCCCCCCCTCATGGTCATGTGAATACACTTTGGAAGCTTGGCAGAATATTCACATTTATGACTTGTGATGACCCAGGATGAGATACAAAATAAACAGGTGAAGCCCCTTTTATTCCTTCACTTTGCTTCAAATATCCTTGACTGGAGACAAAAAAACTCCCCCACAAGCAGTTACAGAAAAGGAGGAAATGCCCTTTAAACTAAAAATGCCTATAAATTATAAAGAGTAAAAACAACACAAACCACTGAAACAATTATGGGAACCAGGCAAGATAAGGGCTTGAAGACATCCACAGATATCGGAACACACACTGGAAAGGACGCCAAACTCAGAGAGGAACGACAGACTAGAGATATTTCCACACTATGTTTCCAGAACTGGCCCACACGCATGTCCTCTTATCCAGTTCTCACAGCTGCAGCCCATGAAGAGGATCAAGGCCCTCTCCTCCTGAGTAGACCACATCTCTCCCTTATCCTCTCCTCCCTGCAAGCCCTAGGATGGAGAGGGGATGGGCCTGGGTCTTCCTCTGACTGCCAGCTGGCCTCTGCCCTTCCCCAGCCTCCTCCACAACCTCCGGAGCCACACTTCCACTCCCTTGAGTCAGTCTCCAACAGGGGCATGGCAATGACTGTTTGCAATATCCTGCGGTCACTTGGCAACATTATATGATACTTTTGTGGAAAACTGGTGCTTATTTTCATTTTTTGATAAAACCGAGCCCACAGCAAACAATGGGCTTGCACTTATGACTGCTATGGTTGCTTAACAACTTCAAAAACGGTCACAATTAGAGAGAGAGAGAGAAAGAGAGAGAGAGAGAGAGAGAATCTAGATAGATAGCACTAGCACTTAGACTTATTCACTGCTTCATGGTGCTTTACAGCCCTCTCTAAGCGGTTTAACAGAGTCAGCCTATTGCCCCCAACAATCTGGGTCCTCATTTTTACCCACCACGGAAGGATGGAAGGCTGAGTCAACCTTGAGCCCTGTCAGGACTGAACATAAATCATAATTATGATTTATGACCGTAACGGGCAGATTTCATTGCAGTCGTAACTCGAGAACTACCAACTGTGTATCTGAGGACTTTCTCCTCTAGAGACTTATTTTTTGGCTCTGGGACATTACAATCAGTACAGTGCCATTCTTCATATACATTTGAGGAGAGCAGAGGTGAGAGTGCAGATGGAAACCTTACATTCTCTAGATGCTGTATCTGGACTGGGGAGGTTTGGGTTCAAGTCCTGCTTCATGATCCAGGTCACTGGATGATTTTGGTCAAATGTTTCTCTCTAAGCCCAATCAACCACACAGTTTGCTGTGAGTATAACATTCAGGGGAACACTGGTAAACTACCTTAAGATATATATATATATATATATAAAAGGTAGGCAATTACAGATAGTCCTCAACTTGCAACCATTCATTTAGTGACTGTTTGAAATTACAACAGCACGGAAAAAAGTAACTTATGAGAGTTACAACCATTGCAGCATCTAGCGATCATGGGATCCCCTTTAGGGACCTTCTGACAAGCAAAGTCACTGGGGAAGCCAGATTCATTTAACAGATGGGTTATTAACTTAAGTGATTCGTTAACAAGAAAGATAAAATGGAGCAAAACTCACTTAAATGTCTCACTAAGCAATGGAAATTTTGGGCTCAGTTGTGGTCATCAGTCGAGGACTACCTATAATCATATTAAAGAATTATAAAGAAAAAAATCTAAAGTCTTGCCTTGGGCAGTTTGTTGTTTGCTTCTTTCTTCAGTCTTTTGTCGCCAATTTTTTCTTCTATTCTTGAGACGTTTAGGAAACAGCTGCAAAACCCCCCCACAAATTAACTTGAGGTAATTTGATAAGTCTTATATTGCTTAAGCTTTTTGTTGCTACAGAAAGCTTTCTACAGCTTCTGAGCGATGTTTAATTCATAATTAAGTATAACGTCTAGGTATATAGCTGTCAAGCTATTTCAAATGTGAGCCTTCACGTAAACTGTAATCTGTTTTTTAATCTTGCCAAGAAGCTCTTTATTGCTCTACAAAGTGATCCCTGTGTTCAGCCGGATCAATTTAGAAACAGTTTTGCCCCGGGAATCTATCAATTAGGTTTCATTATAGTTGCTGCTGGACTATAACCATTGACTACGCTGGAAAAAGCATGTCAAGTGCCAAGACTATACTGAAACAGGAAGGAAAAAAATAGCCAATCATCTCCTGGCACGTGAACATGGTATCGTTTTGAAAAAGGACTATACAGGTAGACCTTGACTCACAACAGTTCATTTAGTGACCGTCTGAAATTACAAAGGTACTGAAAAAATTGACTGAAGATCCTTTTTCATACTTATGACTGTTGCAGCTAATGTTTGTGATGGTTGCAGTGTTCCGGGGTCATGTGGTCACATTTTGTGACCTTCTGACAAGCAAAGCCAGATTCACTTAACAACCATGTGACTAACTTAACCATTGCAGTGATTCACTTAACAATAGCAAGAAGGGTCATAAAATGGGGTAAAAATTCACAAGAGCTGCCTTGCTTAGCAACATAAATTTTGGACCCAAGTTTTGTCGTATGTTGAGGACTACCTGTATTTTAATTGTACAGAGTAGTACCCTCCAAAAAGGTGAAGGGAGGGAAGGAGGGAGGGAGGGAGGAAGAATGAGAAAGAGTGAGAGAGAAGGGGGTGGGAGGAAGGAAGGATAAAAGGAAGGAAGGAAAGAAAGAAGGGAAAGAAAGGATACAATTTCCTAGTCAATGTCTTAAAATTGCCATGTTTGGAGACCCCTGAAATAGGCATCAATTTCTAAGCAGAGGCCCAATATTTGGCAGTACTTCAAGGACATAAAAACAGTGGTGTATAAAATTAAAGGCCTGTGTCATTTTTCCACAGTATCTAATTAAATGCCCAGGAAATCCCATAAGTAACCCTTAAGAAGTCTTAATTTTGACTCCCCTGTAACTGAAAGGTCAGTTTGATGTAGCGATTAAGGCATCAGGCTAAAAACTGGGTGACTCTTGAGCTGTAGTCCTGCCTTAGACATAAAGCCAGCTGGGTGATCTTGGGCCAGTCCCTTTCTCTCAGCCCTAGGAAGAAGGCAATGGCAAACTACGTTTGAAAAAACGTTTCCAAAAAACCTGCAGGAACTAGTTCAGGCAGTCACCAGGAGTCGAAAACAGTGTCGAGGCACAAAAGAACCAGATAGCCATCATTATGAAAAACCCTTCATTCGGTCTTCACCTGCCCTCCACCCATCATTTAAATCTATGAAACCACCTAGTATGGTGAAGGCTTACACACGCCTGCTTTGTGTTATATAGCAATAATGCAAATAACATATGAGGCCCTAAGTTGTTTACCCTCTGCAGATCTTTGCTAAAGCAAGGCTGGGTGGGTCTGGTCATAAGTTTGTCTGCGCTGCCCAACTCTTGTAAAATCATCAGCTTCCTGGTTGGAGGTGCGATCTTCAAGGGGGCTAGCGTATCCCCGTAATTTGCAAGCTGCTTTTGCATGGTAGCTTTGCTGAGCTGCTTCACCGGGTCAATGAGTAACTTTCTTTTCCTTTTACTTCTTCGTTTCTTTAGAACTACATACAAGAGACATACACAAAGGACACATTACATACCCACCAGAGAATGCTAAGCAGATAATAATCACATCATACTAATCCATATTTATGTTTGCAGGCCTAATAAAACGTTGGCATTACAAAGAACCTTCCACTTTGGTTTTTACATAGGTATACATATATACATACACATATTTATTTTGTTCAGGACAAGGTTAAAATACAAAACTCCCCCCCCCCCAAAAAGTGGACCTCTCTGCTAGGTTCAGAGCTAGAGAGAGGTTTTTCCATGCTCCGGAGGGGGCGTAGCTTTGTGTGCTGCCTATAGATGGGGCTTTGCTTGTTTGCGCAGCGCAGTTTCTGGCATGCCATGGCTTGGTGCCAGTCCATGGACTGGGGCTTGGGGACTCCAGAGGTAAACCACACTGGTCACTTGGGCTCGAGCTTAAATGGAGGTAGTGAGACTATTCTTATCTTCCTTCCATTTCCAGTTTCTCAACAGAGTAACCTTTGGGGTTTCCTGCAAAGGTTGGGAGTTGGGCAAGGTGCTACAGTGTTCTGCACCTACCTGAGTGGGCAAGTCCAGGTGGTAGCATTTTAATTAGTGTAGAGGTGTATGGTTCTGACCCAAACCTTGTTCCAAGGAAACAAACACGAAAAAGAGGTAACAGCAAAACCTTTTAATGATTCTTTACAAGTGCCGTTCCTTCACGGGTAAAAGGCTGCTTCAAACCAATTAGCTCCGATATGAAAGAGCCTTGCCAAGATTGTGCAAGGCTGCCAAGAATACTAGATAAAGTTACTAAGAAATATTTCAAACACAAAGCGTCTCCAAACAAGATACTCCGAATGTATTTTTTTTAAGTATTTATTTGATTTGTCAATCGCTTACAAGATACAGGTATGAGAATAAATATAGTTTTGAATACATGAGAAAGATACTCATAAGAAAAATAAAAAGAAGCAATAGGACAGGGACGGTAGGCACGTTGGTGCGCTTATGCACGCCCCCTACAGGCCTCTTAGGAAGGGGGTGAGGTCAATAGTAGACAGTCTAAGGTTAAAGTTTTTGGGGTTTGGGGAAGAAACTACAGAGTCAGGTAGAGGATTCCAGACATTGACCATTCTGTTGCTGAAGTCGTATTTCCTGCAATCAAGTTTGGTGCGATTAACCTTGAGTTTGTATCTATTGTGTGCTCTTGTATTGTTATGATTGAAGCTGAAGTATTGATTGACAGGTAGGACATTGCAACGTATGATTTTATATACTATACTTAGATCGGACCGAAGGCGGCCTAGTTCTAGGTTTTCTAGGTCTAGAATTTCGAGTCTGGTGGCATAAGGTATTCTGCAACGAGTAGAGGAGTCGCAAACTCTTCTTGTGAAATATTTCTGGACTTTTACAATTGTGTTAATATCAGATACATGATACAGCGTTCCAGACTGATGAGCTGTATTCAAGTATAGGTCTAGCAAATGTTTTGTATGCTCTAGTTAGTAGCGTGATATTACCAGAGAAAAAGCTACGTAGGATTAGATTAACAACTCTTAATGCCTTTTTGGCTATGTACTTACAGTGGGCTCTAGCACTTAGGTCATTTGAGATGAGTACTCCAAAGTCCTTGACAGAGTTTGGATCCTCAACAAGGTCTTGACTATTTAGCTTGTATTTTATTTTCTGATTTTTTTCTGCCAATATGTAAGACAGAGCATTTATTTGTTGAGATTTGAAGTTGCCATTTGATTGACCATTCTGATTCACAGTCAAGGTCTTTTTGGAGGGTAGCAGTATTGTCTGTGTGTTGAATAGCTTTACATCATCAGCGAAGAGAATGCAGTTGCTCTTAATATGAACACAGAGGTCATTTATGTAGAGTATGAAGAGAGTTGGTCCTAAAACACTGCCTTGGGGGAACATCCACAAGGAATGAATGCAAAATCTTCTTTGCTTCCTGCAAAGAACTCCAGTTTCTCAGCTGGCTTTTATCTTCTCAGGGAGGGGCCATTACCTTGCAGCCTTACTCCCGAGTCGCCCATGCTGCTGAAGCTTCTCTTTCCTTTGAGCAGCCCTGCATGCATGCGCACTGGGCACAGGCTCCTTGGGGGCCTCTTCCTCACTGCTGCCAGCCTCCACCATCTCCGAAGCATTCCACTTTCCGATGGTCCTGTCCCCATCCCTTCATCACACGCAGGCCCCTCATCTGAGTCCTCGCCAGGGGACCATCCACACCTGCTGCCGGCAAACCACAACAGGTATATATACAAGTTGTCCTCGATTTACAATCATTCATTTAGTGACCATTCAAAATTAACTGGCAGTGAAAAAAAGTGATTTATGACTGTTTTTGACATGACTGTTGCACAGAGGTGGGATTCAACTGGTGTTACTACTGGTTCAGTGACTACGTTTTGCGCGCGCACATGTACAAAAAACCATCAGCTGTGCCGCCCGGACAGCTGAAAAGCGCAGCGTTTGAAAAGCCTCTTTTTTCCTGCTTTTTCAACCTCAGCTGTGCCGCGCAAAGCAGTTGAGGTTGAAAAAGCAGGAAATAAAGGACAGGTAAGAGCCCAGGTGGGTGGGTGGGCCAAACAGCAGCAAACACAGAACCAGTTCGTTGTCTGCTGCTCTTCAGAGCTACCGGTTCTATAGAGCCGGGCAGAACCGGTAGCATCCCACCCCTATTGTTGCAGCATCCCCATGACCCCGTGATCAAAATTCAGATGCTTGGCAATTGATTCATATTTATGATGACTGTAATGTCCCAATGTCGGGTGATCACATTTTGCGATCTTCTGACCGGCAAAGTCAATAGGGAAGCCAGATTCACTTAACAACCATGTTACTCACTTAACAACTGCAGTGATTTGTGTAACAATTGTGGCAAGAAAGGTCATAACATAGGGCAAAACACACTTAACAACTGCGTTGGCTTAGCAAGGAAAAGTTTGGGCTAAGTTGTGGTCATAAGTTGAGGACTACCTGTAGATGAGTTCCTATAGGAGGAATTCAACAGCCATTACATAAACACCAACCGAGCCGTTAAAGGGAAAAGGGAGTAGGAAAGAAACTCAAGATTGCTCTGCCTTATATCTCTTTGCTATAAGGTCCCAAAGGTGCTTTTTTTTCCAAGAGGCAACTGGACTTTCTGTTTTTTCTTTCTTTCTTTGAAGACGTTTCGCTTTTCATCCAAGAAGCTTCTTGGATGGTGGTAGGGAATGGAAGGATTTATACTCCTTGCATTATATCTCCAAATAAAACAGCCCTCCCTCAACAGACGGGGAGGGATAGGACATCCTCTATCTCCAGTTTACAACACGGTCCTTTCAGCAGTTCCAAGAAGGCTCCACACCCATTTGCACCACTCAGGTGATCCTGAGGACACAGATAAACCTCCTGGTGGTCTCAACCGCTCTCTAAAAAGGATTCAAATGACCAGCTGTCTGTATGGAATATACTGGTAAATCCATCCATTTCCCACCATCCAGTCAGAGCTGCAGGGGCTTCTTTGATGAGAAGCGAAACGTCTTCAAAGAAAAACCAGAAAGTCCAGTTGCCTCTTAAAAAAGCACCTTTGGGACAACCAGGACCTGTATTACATAGACACTTTGGTATAAGGTGTTAGGGGTTGATGAAGGAGATAGAATGTCTGTTAGGTTTTCAAGGTTCTGATATGCTCTTTAACAATAAAATAGATTCCCAGTAACTCTTGTATCTGTTTCTTCAGCTGGCTTACTTTAGGAGCTGAAAACTGAAGAATTAGATTTAGATTTACTAATGTAATTAATTATATTTTATTCTGAATTGTGTTTTGTATGTAAGTTCTGTAAGCTGCTTAGAATTTGGTTTCAGGCAGCAGGCAAATCCTATGGATAAATAAACGAATGAATGAATATAATCTAACAAGGACAATCCTTTTTAGAAAATAAAGAAGACTAAGAAGAGACGACCACTTCTGTTGAAAAAAATGTTTCCAGTGAAATGCTTTTCTGGATTTGTCATCTATACATATAAAAGTGAAATACCCCTCATGCATCATCACAAAATCTCCAGAACCGTAAAACCTACAAACTTGAAATTTGGCATGTTATGTTCCTCTTGGCTTGTAGGTGCTCACTAAGAAAGGATTTTTCGAAATGACCATCAGAGTATCAGTATTTGCTATATTATTATTATTATTATTATTATTATTATTATTATTATTATTATTATTATTATTATTATTACGCTCTGATGCTAAAGAGTTCTATTCCCCCTCCCCACCTGAAAAGAAATCTCTTCCAAAACACAAGCAGAGGAGAGGAGTTTCAGTTTTCGATTCACAGCAGCAACCAGCTTTAGTACAGAACAGTTGAGCTAAGCCATGCCCAGGCTCCTTGCTGTCTCCTTCTTTGCTTACATAGCAAATACTGTTTCAGTTTCCAAACAGCCCTCAACTCCCTCACACACTGACAGGATGCTAGCTACATGAATACCTATGGATGCTGGTAGGCAAAATTTCCCCCCACCCCTTATTTTCCTCCCCAAAAACTAAGCCTGACCACATAGTTTTGTAACAAAGCACGGGTATCGAGCTAGTCACTTTTATATTTCATTTTTATTCAAGACAGAAACAAACAATTCTAACCTGGAGTAACAATAGGATAAGGAACAAAGCCGTCTTCCTCACTGAACAATAATGTTGTTTCATTACGTTGGTGATTTCTTGTTTCATGTTTAGATACAGCCTGGTCTGGATCAAAAGTAGTTCCTGCTGATTTAGACAATCACAGAGTTAAGAGTATTATTTAGGTCACTGAGCCCAATTTCTGCTCAGCGAATGATTTTAGTGGAGCTCACCTTAAGGTTAAGCCTGTTTGGGACTTAATAACTTAAACATGTCGCAGAGATATTTTCTTGACTCAAGACTAAAAGAATGGAATAAATTATATCTGTATTTTTTTGTCTGTCTGTCCGTCTATCTATCTTCATCAATCTCTATAATCTATTTTTTTCCAGTTCTGTCTATCAGTCATGTCGATTGTCTATGATCTGTCTATTTTCTGCTGAACCATTTTTATCTATCTATCTATCTATCTATCATCATCTATCTATCTATCTATCTATCTATCTATCTATCTATCTATCTATCTACCTACCTACCTACCTACCTACCTACCTACCTATCTATCTATCCATGCATCCATCCATCTATATTTTCTGCTCAATCATTCTCTCTTTCTTTCTCTTCATCATCAATCACTATCTCTAATCTATTGTGTTTTTTGATTCTGTCTGTCAAACATTTCTCTTGTCTGTGTATCACACAGGTGTCAAACTCACCCTGTCACATGACATATTGCAACATTTTCTCCCTTCACGGAGCTGGGGTGGGTGTGGCCTGCACATGACACATCTGGCCCATAGGCCACCAGTTTGACACTCCTGGTCTATCATCTACCTACCTACCTGTCTCTCTATCTATCTTCTGCTCTTTCTTCCTTTCTTCCTTTCTTTCTTTCTTTCTTTCTTCTTTCTTTCTTTCATCTATCTATCTATCTATCTATCTATCTATCTATCTATCTATCTATCTATCTATCTATCTATCTATCTATCTACCTACCAACCAACCATCTATCTATGTCATTTTCTCTCTCCCATCTGTATCATCTATCATATTTTTTCTCCTTTGTCTCTGCCTCTGTCTCTTTCTCACATAGTCGCCCATCTCACAAGCAATGACTGGGTAGTGTACAATGATTTTCTTATGACCGTGTGGCTAAGAGCATGTCCTTTTCCACAGCAGTAACCATGTTGTGGAGATTCCTATGGAAATGTGTGTGACTTCACATACAAATCTTGGGCCTTGAAACCTGAGTTATTTAAGTTGGAGTCAATATTATTAAAATGTTGCTGCCTTACGTTTTTCAGACATTCTGTTGCTCTGTGTTTTGATTCTGGATTACATCTGCTTTATTGCAAATCAGTTTTAAAGCCTTAGGATGGAAAAGTGACTTATAACAAAAGCAAATTTTTTGTTAAAAAATTCAGCAATTTTGTACTAGGGTTTTTATTTGAAGAACTTCAAAGGGACTTTAAGAAAAAAACACTTGCATGAATCTTTTGAATTAGAACTAATGAAGAAATATGACTGCATCTATTCAGGGCTGAATTACAGTATTTAATTTTATTTATTGGTTTATGATGATCATGTTTATTTAATTATTGTTGACATGAATAGCTGATTTTCTTATTGTTAAGAAAAAATGTTATACAGAAATTACCACATAAAGTTGGGCTTTTTTTTGCTTTTCACTTATTCTGCTCTTATTTATTATCAAGGTTTTTTTTCCTTGTAGCAATTTATAAGTAAAAATAACAACTTACACATATGTACAAGCTGATTCTATGACAGCTAATGCCATAATAAATACACCTAACATTAAAAGACAATAAACCACAGCATTGTATTTACAATTACAAATTAATACTGTATAGTTATCTTAGAAGTTTAACTTCTAAAAGCATCAGTCACACTAGTAAAACAGTTTAAAGTAAAGTAGCTACAACCTCACCTTTTCTGTTATCAACTGGATCTTTGGGGGGTAAAGGAAGTTCCTCTTCCATGTCAAATATTGCAAGGAGGCCATTCTGGTCAGTTCCAAGAATATCATCTTAAGAAAATAATTATAGTATATAAAGTTTTTAAAAAAACACTTTTTATGTACATAACTACATATTTTATATAGGTAGTCCTCAACTTACAACCATTCGTTTAGTGACTGTTTGAAGTTACAATGGCATTGAAAAAAAAAACAATTTATGACCAGTTCTGACACTTTTACTGTGTAACTGTGGCAGCATTCCCATGGTCACATAATCAAAATTCGGGCACTTGGCATGTGTTTATGACAGTTGCACTATCCCAAGCCAAGTGATCAACGTTTGCGACCTTCCCAGTTGGCTTCTGACAAGCAAAGTCAATGGGGGAAGCCAGATTTGCTTAACGACCACACAACTCACTTAGCATCTGCAGTGATTCGCTTAACAACCATGGGAAAAGGACATAAAATGGAGCACCACTCATTTACCAACTGCCTTGCTTAGCAACAGAAATGTGGGGCTCAGTTGTGGTTGTAAGTAGAGGACTATGTAGAAAAAAGCAAATACTAGAACATAAAAGTTACTAAACTTTTTGGGTAAGTTATGCACATTTTAGCAAATCTATTGGACAGCTATAGTTAGACTGGATTTTGTTCATACCTACCAATCATATCTCTTCCAGCTTCTTCGTCTCCAAATCCATCATACTCTAATGCAATTTTGCCTCCAGTTAAATTCGAAGAACTGTGGTCAGCCAGGAGACTATTGGAGCTATTTATTAAACTGTCACTGAAAAAGCTAGCATGCCTTGGAATTTCAATTTCTTCAACTGTGAAAAATATAGATGAATAACTCAGCTATGTTTATATATCTTGGAGATATAATACTTTGCAGCGAGTTAAAAATCAGTTGCTTATAAATATTGAATCCAGAATGCAATTTTTGAAAATAAAATAAAAACCTTTTGTATTTTGATTTATGAGGGGAAAAAGTTGCAACCTTACCAAAATTGCTGCCATGGAGAACATTCTGCCCATAAAATTCTGTCAATGTGATGTCCTCAATTTTGCTCTGGTGCAGTGTAAAATGTTGGGCGACCTCAATGGCACTATTAGAAGAGAAGAAAAAACAGAAGTTTTAGGAAATGCTGCAAAACTGAACCGTTAACTTCCTAATTCACAAAACGTATCCATATAATATTTTAATATTGGTTCTAATTAAATTGCACTTCCATCGCCTTTCACTTACTACTCCATAATGGGATTAAGAAATGGTTAGTAGCACAGATTCAGCAACAAAAGCTGCTTCAGTTACTACATTCATCTATCTTTATCCCCAAAATACAGTTCAAGAATTAAAAACTAACAATGTGCAGGTAGTCCTCAATGTCAGGTTTCCAAGTGATGAAATCCATTTAAAAAGAAAAGAACAAAGTCCATCTTCCAAGACAAATTCAAGCTCGAAATTGACACTCGACTTATGACCATAATTGAGCCCAACATTTCTGTTGCTAAGTGAGACATTTGTTAAGTGAGTTTTGCCCCATTTAACCACCTTTCTGGCCATTGTTGCTAAAAGAATGTTAAGTCAATCACTGCAGTGATTAAGATTAGTAACAGGGTTGTTAAGTGAATATGGCTTCCCCATTGACTTTGCTTGTCAGAAGGGGATCAGGGACAGGGCAACCTTCCTAAGGACCTGCCAGTTTCCAAGTGCCTGAATTTTGATCATGTGACCATGGGGATGCTAGAACGGTTGTATGTGTAAAAAGTGGTCATAAGTCCCTTTTTTCAATGCTGTTGTAACTTCAAACGGTCACTAAATGAACTGTTGTAAGTCAAGGACTACCTGTATTGTATCAGTTTATCATTATCATAAAAACATTAATCTGGACTGTGAAAAAAGTTTAAGAAAGCGCAATTAATCCTCACGAAGGAAATCCTTAGAAAATAGTGCTCTGTGCTCTTCAGAACTACAGTAAATCTAGCCTGGGTAAGTGGACTGAACACAGAGAAGTGATCCCTTACAATCCAGTTATAACTATTAAGAAAATAGAGTGGTTAAGGATGCTGAGAGGGAGGGAAATGAGAACAGAATGGAAAATGACACTGAGAAAAGCTGTGTTAAAGTGAAAGATGAACCATGCATGGAAAAGAGAATTCACTCCCTTTTCACTTGTTCTATTCTTAGCAATAAACAAATGTTGAAAAGTATTTACTTCATGTCTGGAAGTTGGGTATCAAAATCATGAAACACTTCAGGCAGTGTGATAGCATTATAAATTGCCTCAGAATTTCCTTTCGGAAGGTCAACAAGCCCTAAAGAAAAATATAGAATATAAGTAACTGTGGGATGATGATGTAGCTTTATATATCCTGCGAGATAAAAATGTATTTTGAGGGCATCCAGCAAGTGTGTTCACATTCTTTAAATTTTCACCTAGTAATCATTAATTAGATGGCAGAAAATATTTGTCAATTTAATAATGACACAATTACAAAAACATTCTGCTGCTAGTGCAATTCTAGGCATGACTATTCAAAAATAAGCCCCACTGTAGTCTTTGGAATTTACTTCTACTTTGGTTTTTTAGAATTGCAATCTCTACATGAAGCAGTAGTTTATGATCCACTACTTGTCTGAAATGGTATAGGATCTCCCTCTTGAGCAGGGGGGTTGGACTAAATCTCCCGGGTCCCTTCCAGCTTCATTCTGATTCTGATCTTGAGATGGCCTTCCAAGAATCATCTCATGAATCCTGAAACCTTGCGGACCACTTGTTTCATTTTCAAAAGTTAAAGCCATTTCTTTACCATTAATAAGCTTCTTGTTAATAATAAGTAGGGGAAAAGCATACCTGGTTGAAAAGTGGATTGCATTTTAAGTAGGGCTTCATTGCAATCTGTCAAAAGATACTTGGTTTTTCTGTGATAGATCCTCACCACTCCTAGCAAAAGATGTCCCGAGGTACGAAGAGCAATTTTAAACTGGGGCAGGGGAGAAGGAGGAAAGTTGGCATTAACAGGAAAGATCGCAACAGAATTAAGAGTAATTATCCTGGTTCTCATTTTTCTTAAAACCAATCTAAGAGAGTAGCTAAAGGTATCCAAATGGGACATAGAGCATCCCTTTCAGGAAATAACTGGGTTAATCTTGTTGTGCTTAGGCATGAAAGCCAACTGAGTGACTTTGGGCAATTCACCAGGAGACTGGGAGTCCTAGTCCTGCCTTAGGCGTGAAAGTCAGGTGGGTGACTGTAGGCCAATTATTCTCTCAGCCCACCTCACAGGGTTGTTGTTGTTGTTGTGGGGAAAATAGGAATATTAGGAATGTTTGCTGCCTCGAATTACTTATAATAAAGGCAGGATAAAAATTAAATAATTAAAAATGGCTCTATTTGCAGAAGCAATTTAGAGCAATGAGTCCAAGCTCTTGTTTAGTACAGGAACCCAATTTAACACATCCGTAACAGTTGGCTATCTGGTCTGGATATATATCTAGTGAAAATATGTTCACCATCACTCTGGATAATTGGTTCTACCACTGAACTGCTCCTATTGTTAGGAACTGTTTCTTGATCATAAGCTAGAATCTGCCTTCCTGTAACTTAAAAACCTTCATCTGTATTTTATATACTGAGGTGATAGAGAGCTTGACTTTCTTTCGTGTGACAACCCTTTTTAGGTTTTTTTTTGCAAGATTCAACATATCCAGATCCTCAAGGTCTTGCTGCAGAACTTAATTTACAATGCCACACCCAGTGTTGAGTAAAAATAGGGGACCTTATTTTTGGTGACATTTTATGAAAGCCATACCTTAGGGGAGAGTATCTTTTCAATGGTATCTTCTAAATTGCATTCAAATATATGAGCCTTTGTGACTTTCTTATCCCAGTGAGCAGCCAGCCATATCTTGGACAAAGGCCCACGTTTATTCATAAGCAGCTGCATGTAGAACATTTTGCCAGAAATGTGTTCCTTAACTTGGCAAGCTAGAGGGAAGAAATTAGTTTAAATATTGAATACATCATTTTTTTGTAATTTTTCAAAGCTAAAATGAAAAATAGTAATCAATTTCAAATAAATGATTTGCAAAAAAGAGAAAACTCTTTAATATATAGTTCTAGTTTTCATGCTTACAGGTTGTTTTAAACAAATGCATTATTTGTGTACAATCTAAGTAACTGCTTAAAATACTATGGCTACTTGCAATTAGGATACATCAACTGTATTTATTATCATGAATTTGTCTTCATACAACATTTATGTATTGAAGCAGTTTCCAAATCAAACTAATAGCATCATTACTGAAATACATAATTAATTTTGGCAAAGTGAATATATTGAAACAATGTTGTTTTCCTTGTTTCTGTTGCAAAAATAAGAAAATTATTGTTTTCTCAGTGAATTTTACTCTTTTTGAAAGATATAAAAAGTCCAATTTTATTCATGTGGCAGTAAGAAGTAAGCAAGGAACTACAACAATCAAACATATTAGGAACTACCAGAGGACTGGAAAAGAGCTGATGTGGTTCCCATCTTCAAAAAGGGAAATAAAAACAGACCCAGGAAACTATATAGACCAATCAGCCTAACATCAATACGCGGGAAGATACTGGAAAAGATAATAAAAAAACAGATCTGCCAACATCTAGAAACAAGTAAAGTAATAACTAGCAGTCAGCATGGGTTTGTTAAAAACAGATCATGCCAAACCAATCTTATTTCATTCTTCAACAGTGACTAAATTAGTAGACTAGCAAAATACTGTGGACATAATATATTTAGATTTCAGCAAGGCATTCGACAAAGTAGAACAAAACCTACTTCTTGGTAACATAGAAAAACCACCTCCACAAGATGGATCTGCAACTGGCTGACAAACCATACTCAACGAGTAATCCTTAATGGGTCTAAGTCTACATGGAGGGAAGTAAGCAGTGGGTGCCACAAGGTTCTGTCTTAGGCCCAGGACTCTTCAATATCTTCATGAACGACTGAGATGAGGGAATAGAAGGGGAACTTGCCAAATTTGCAGATGATACTAAGCTGGCAGGAATAGCTAACACCCAAGAAGATAGGCTCAAGATCCAGGTGGATCTTGACAGACTAGAACACTGGGCCGTATCTTAAAAAATGAAATTAAATGTAGAGAAAAGTAAAGTCCTACACTTAGGCAAGAAAAACCCAAAGGACACATACAGACTGGGTGAAACCAGGCTCAATAGCAGGAACTGTGAGAGGGATCTTGGAGTCTTAGTGGACAACCAGCTAAATAGGAGCCAGCAGTGTGCAGCAGCAGCCAAAAAAGCCAGTGCAATCCTAAGCTGCATTAACAGAGGGATACAATCGAGATCAAGGGAGGTACTAATACCCCTCTATAAAGCCTTAGTAAGACCACACCTAGAGTACTGCATCCAGTTTTGGTCACCACATTATAAAAAAGATGTTGAGACCCTAGAAAAAGTGCAGAGAAGAGCAACCAGGATGATTGGGGACTGGAGACTAAAACATATGAAGAATGGTTGCAGGAACTGGGCCTAGCTAGTCTAGGGAAGAGAAGGACCAGGGGAGACAGGATAGCAGTCTTCCAATATTTGAGGGGCTGCCCCAGAGAGGAGGAAGGGGTCAAGCTATTTTCTAAAGCTCCTGTAGGCCAGACAAGGAATAATGGATGGAAACTGAACAAGGAGAGCTTTAACCTGGAAACAAGGAGAAACTTTCTGACAGTGAGAACAATCAACCAATGGAACAGCTTGCCCTCGGAAGTTGTGGGAGCGCCATCACTTGAGACTTTCAAGAAGAGATTGGACTGCCCATCTGTCAGAAATGATGTAGGGTCTCCTGCTTGGGCGAGGGGTTGGACTAGATGATCTATAAGGTCCCTTCCAACTCTGATTATCTGTTATTATCTGGTGTTCAAACATTTGGTTTTAGAAACCACGAAGAAAATATGCACAAGAAATGAAATATGATGGGACTTCTGGGAGAGGTTTTTAAAAAATAATAATCTTAAAGGTAGATGTAAAAATGATCTGGGATGCAAGCAAAGCTTTCGTGATAGGTTACCTTATAGAACATATAAGTGAATTCAAAAAGAAGAACTACCTATTTTGGGTGAGATAAAAAGAAAAGAGTTAAAGAAATTTATAGAGAAGATAAATATTTTTCAACATATTAAGCTTCTTACAGCACTTTTCTACAGGAAAAGTTGGAGCTTAGTTGATAGTTGTTTAAGATGGCTGAATCAAGAGATGGTCTGAGTAAAAGCACCATAACATTTTTCAAAGACCAGGTTTGTTAAAGGGCTGTTCCTTAGTCTGTGGTCCATGTTAATAATTTAAATATATTTGCATAAAAGACTACCATAACTTCCAATAAGAACTGAGCTTCTGGTGAGGCTTCAAGGCCAACAAGATATCCCCAGAGGAGTGGAGAGGGCATTGCAGTGGACATTGGTGAATTCTGGCTAGCAAATTCTCTCTGGAAATAGGAGATATTATGAGATTGCTCACTTCTACTCTGGACAGTTGCTCCTTGATTTGTTGTTTTGTTGCCAAATTGTGTCCAACTCTCGCAACCCCATGCACAGCATGGCAGGTTCCCTTGTCCTCCACTGTCCCCTGGCATTTGCTCCAATTCGTGTTCATTCGTGACACTATTTATTTATTTATTTATTTATTTGATTTGATTTGCCAATTGTTTACAAGATAATAAGTATAAGTGTATACATAGTTGTGAATACATGAAATGGGTACATATAAGAAAAATAAAAGAAGAATAAGAGAAATAATAGGACAGGGACGGTAGGCACGTTGGTCCTCCTCTGCCATCCCCTTCTCCTTTTGCCTTCCATCTTTTTCAACATCAGGGTCCAATGAATCCTCTCTTCTCATTTGGTGGCCAAAGTATTTGAGCTTCAGCTTCAATATCTGTCCTTCCAAATAACAGATAGGGTTGAATTATTTTCGGATTGACTGATTTATTCTCCTTGCAGTCCAAGGGACTCTCAAGAGTCTTCTCCAGAACCACAATTCAGAATCATCAATCCTTCGGTGCTCAGCCTTCCTTATGGTCCAGCTCTCTTGGTCATACATTACTACTGGGAAAACCACAGCTTTGACTATACTGACCTTTTTTCGGCAAGGTGATGTCTTTGCTTTTTAATATGCTGTCTAGGTTTGCTGTAGCTTTCCTCCCAAGGAGCAAGCCTCTTTAAATTTCATGGCTGCAGTTGCTGTCTGCAGTGATCTTGGAGCACAAGAAAATAAAATCTGCCACTGCTTCCATTCTTCCTCTTCTATTTGCCAGGAAATGATGGGACCAGATGCCATCTTAGTTGTTGTTGTTTTTAATGTGGAATTTCAAGCCAGCTTTTGCAGTCTCTTTTTTCACTGTCAAGAGGCTCTTTAGTTCTTCTTCACTTTCTGCCATTAAAATGGTATCATCCACATAAGTTGTTGATATTTCTCCTAGCAATCTTAATTCCAGTTTATAATTCATCCAGCCTGGCATTTTGCATGATGTATAAGTTAAATAAGGGTGACGATTTATCAGCCTCGTCATATTCCTTTTTCTGTTTTGAACCAGTTGTTCCATATCCAATTCTAACGGTTGCTTCTTGACCCACATGCAGGCTTCTCAGGTAAGGTAGTATGGTACTCCCATCCGTTTAAGAACTTGCCACAATTTGTTATGAACCACATAATCCAAAGCTTTAGTAGTCAATGAAGCAGAATTCTGGAATTTCCTTGCTTTCTCCATAACCCAGCAAATATTGTCACTTTAATCTCTAGTTCCTGACTCTTTGAAACCCAGTTTGTACTTCTGGTAGATCTCCATTCACATACTACTGAAGCCTAGCCTGTAGGATTTTGAGTGCAACCCTGATAGCATGTGAAATTACCATATTTGTACGGTGGTTGGTCATTCTTTGGCTTTCTCTTTTGGGGATTGTAAATTGCTCTTTTCCAATCCTGTGACCCACTGTTATTTTCCAAATCTGCTGGTATATTGAGTGTATATTGAGCATTTTAAGGACATCACCTTTTAGGATTTTAAAGAGCTCAGCTGGAATACCATCACCCCCACTAGCTCTGTTGTTGGTAATGCTTCCTAAGGCTCAGTTGGCTTCACACTCCAGGATATCTGGCTTGAGATCAGTGATCACACCACTGTGGTTATCAGGAACATTAAGGTCATTCTCATATAGTTATTTCCATCTCTTCTTAATCTCTTTTATTTCTGTTAGGTCCCTACCATTTTTGTCCTTTATCATGCCCATCTTTGCACGAAATGTTTCTTTGGTGTCTCCAATTTTTAAAAAAGAGATCTCTAGTTTTTTCCAATCTATTATTTTCCTTTATTTCTTTGCATTGCCATTTAAGGCTTTCTCTCTCCTTGCTATTCTCCGGAAACCTGCATTCAGTTGGGCATATTTTTCCCTTTCTGTCTTTTGCTTTCCTTCTTTCCTCAGCTATTTGTAAAGCCTCATCAAATAGCCACTTCACTTTCTTGCATTTTTTTAAGTTGCTGCTTCCTGTACAATGTTACAAACCTCCATCCATAGCTCTTCAGGCACTTTGTCTACCAGATCTAATTCCTTAAATACAGTATATTCATCACCTCCACTGTATATCCATAAGGGATATGATTTAAAATTTAGATCATACCTGAATGGCTTAGTGGTTTTCCCACCTTCCTTCAATTTAAGCCTGAATTTTGCAACAAGAATCAGTGGTAGGGTCATATGCTTGGATTATTGTGATGTTGAATGGTTTGCCTTGGATTCAAATCCAGATCAGTCATTTTTAACATTGTACCCCGGTCTCCTGCTTAAGCAGGGGGTTGGACTAGATTACCTACAAGGTCCCAACTCTATTCTATTCTACCTATTCAGTACTGCTTTTCTCACTGTTTTGTTGACTATGAGGACTACTCCATTTCTTCTAAGGGATTCT